TCACCATAGCCGATCGAACTCCAGACGAAACTAAAACCGCACTACCGTTCAAAGAAAAACAAAAGAACAATGAGCTATCGACTCCGTAAAGCTAACGTGATTGAGCCTTCCTAATAAACGAACTAGTTAAAAAACATGTTTTCCATATATAAGGCTTACCAAGAATATTACGTGTAATTTATTGTGTATAGCGTATCACTGAGCAAGATCGCAACATAACGTGGAAAATTCCTCAAAACAATAAAACGCTTTTTAGCCGGCGCCGGTGGTGTAGTGGTAAGCGTGACTGCTTTCTTAACACCCCAATGGGTCTGGGTTCAATCCCAGCCGAGGTCGGTGGGATTTTTCGGAGGCATAAAAATCTCTGGTCACGTCTTCCTTCGGAAGGGAAGTAAAGCCGTTGGTCCCGCCCCATGTGTCATGTGTGTTGAATGGGTGCGATATCCTACGCAGGTGTGGAAGCTGCCTTCCTGCACATTCGATTGCCGTCAATGAATGGCAATCGATGTCCGTCGGTGATTGGCACTAGATTGCGGAACAGAGACCGACGTTAAATATAGGAAAGAAAAAAATAAATAAATAAAACGCTTTTAATTATTTTGTTTTTTTTCTATCGTAAACTACAGATTTATTCCTGGACCCCTCTACAGTGAATATGGTTGATATTTTCATCCACCACCTGGTGCGGCAGAAATCGAGTTAAAACTAAATCAACTCTCCGAGGTCGATAGTTTCTGCACATTGGACAGCAATGTTGAACGGAGTGCAAAAATGCAAGATTTGCTAAGGGAAGTCGAGACCCATCTCACGGTGTGGAAGAACGAGAGTGACTAGAATGCATTAAACATGACAGCGCTGGTTGGTTCTTTGTTATCGAAAGAGAAAATAAAATGTGGAATAAATATGTAGCTTACGATAGAAAAAAAAACAAATCAAAGCATTTTATTGTTTTGAGGAATTTTCCACGTTACGTTGCGATCTTGCACAATGATACGCTATACACAATAAATTATACGCAATATGCTTGGTAAGCCTTATTTATGGAAAACATGTTGCCGCCATATTGGATTCCAAAATAGCGTCTGGAATGTATATCTGACCTTAACACGTCGTCCCTTTTCGGAAATTCCTACATTGTAGGATATTTGACAGTTTTTCTTAAAACCGATGGCCGCCATCTTGGTTTTTAAAATGGCGTCTGGCATCGGTTTCCGTCCTCTACACGTCCGGAAATACCCATATTGTAGGGTATTTGACAGTTTTTATTGAACCAATGGCCGTCATCTTGAATTTCAAAATGGCATCTGGCATCGATTTTCGGCCTCTACACGTCGTTTTCTTTCCGGAAATACTCATATTGTAGAGTATATGACAGTTTTTCTTGAACCGATGGCAACCATCTTGGATTCCAAAATGACGTCTGACATCGATTTCCGGCCTCTACACGTCGTTCCCTATCCGGAAATACCCATATTGTAGGGTATTTGACAGTTTTTCTTGACCCGATGGTCGCCATCTTGGATTCCAAAATGGCGTCTGGCATCGATTTCCGGCCTCTCCACGTCGTTCCCTTTCCGGAAATACCCGTATTATAGGGTATTTGACAGTTTTTCTTGACCCGATGGCCGCCATCTTGGATTCCAAAATGACGTCTGGCAACGATTTCCGGCCTCTGCACGTCATCCCCTTTCCAAAAATATCCATATTGTACGGTATTTGACAGTTTTTCTTGAACCGATGGCCGCCATCTTGGATTCCAAAATGGCATCTGACATCGATTGTCGCGCTCTACACGTCATCCTTTTTCCGGTTCCTGTTCTCACATTGCACAGCAACATCTTATATGGACAAGATTTGGAGTCATAACATATTAAGAAAGTTCATGTGCACACTAGCGCCGCGTAGTGTAAGGGTTCTGAAATAATATGACCATCATCCGAAAGGACTTAGTGACCTGAACAACTTTTCTCAAGACAGTAACCTTCTATATGGCCAGGTTCTCGAGATACAGCTTATACAGGAAATTCACTTGCACACTAGCGCCGCGTAGTGAGCGTGTTCTGAACTAATATGAACATCATCCGAAAGGACTTGCTCACCTGCACAACTTTCCTGAAAACAGCAACTTTCTATATGGCCAGGCTCTCGGGATACAGTTTATATAAGAATTGCACATGCACACTAGCGCTGCGTAGTGAGAGAGTTCTGAACTAATATGGCCACCATCCAAAAGGACTTGATCACCTGAACAACTTTGCTGAAAACAGCAACTTTCTATATGGCCAGGCTCTCGAGATACAGTTTATATAGGAATTGCACATGCACACTAGCGCTGCGTAGTGAGAGAGTTCTGAACTAATATGGCCACCATCCAAAAGGACTTGATCACCTGAACAACTTTACTGAAGACAGTAACTTTCTATATGGTCAGGATCACGAAATATTCTGTGTTGGAAATATGATCCATATATTATAGCGCCCGTCATAAGTAACATAAAAGTGAAGCGCCTCTAGCGGCGTAGTTCCCAATTTAACCTGAATCCAATGGCACAGGCTTGTTGGTCTAACCCAGTACAGCAACTTTGTCGAAGACAGTATAGCTTTATGTATTGAAACAAATGAGATAATCCACTACAGCCCCCATTAGTGAAAATCCCATAAGCTGTGGGTATCCTTATTCGCGGTTCCTTATTCACGCCCCCGTTACCCCGGCAATAAGGATTCCTGACTGTATAATGAGTCACACCAAGAGAAAATCAGTTGAACTTGCAACACGGTTTTTGAAAGATTCCCTTTATTTTAACTTGGCAACAGAGGACTTCTGCATCAACTTCAAATGACTTCTAGCGAGGAAAAAAATTAACGGCTGTAGTAAATCATTATATCAGGGATTTTGTCGAATTATCTTAAAGAAAAATAGTAGAAATTGTCATTACTGATCATTACAAAACGTATCGCATGACAAATGTAATGCTCACTGCGTGTATATGATCATTTCTTCGATTATATTTTATATTTAATTGCAATACCTTTCGTGGACATTTCATAGCATCGTAATGCTTGTTTACTTTGCACGATAGGTAGCCGGTTTGACAGTTCAATAGGTAGACTTGGCTTCACTCTTGGCGTGACTCATTATACACCGACTCTAGAGGCAACCTAAGAGGAAGAGGTGACAATTGGCTTCTTCCTCTTTTATTTATATCTCTATCTCTATCTTACGCACATGAAATCGGCCAATCAGGAGCTGGTTCACGTTTGACAGAAAAGCGGTTCATTTTCGCCCCCGTATTTTCACCTCTTCTCTTAGGAGGCAACCGGTCAGCACTTGTGTTTATTTCAGTTACCGTGGGGACGTGATTTGGTAATAGCCCCGATTCCTTTCAAATTTCATAATTATTTATGAACGGCCCGGCGACAGCTTTTGGTTGCCTGATCACAATATTATCCGACTTGATCGCACCGACTCCAGGGGGGGTGGTGTTGCGGTCATCATCAAGAAGGGGATCTTGTTTCACACCCTGCCCACATCCGCACTTCTATCATCGAAGCCCTTAGTGTGGAGGTGGAATTGCCAACCTGAACCGACATTGATCTCTCCTGTGGGAAACCCTTCCACGCTGGACTTCTTCCTGGCGAACTTCGGGCTATCCAAGCCGGTGGCAATAAACGATTTAAGCTCCGACCACCAACCGGTGGTGGCTGAGGTCGGCTTTAACATAGCTCCTGCTCCAATCCTACGAAAAGACTACCACCACGTCAACTGGGTTCAGTTTGGACGTGTGGTTGACCGGAACATCGACGAAAATCCGCCACTTGACATCGTAGAGGACATCGATCGGGCGCTGGAAGGACTTCACCAGGCCATATCCGTGGCCGACGAGACGGTTGTTCGTCAAGTTTCTGTGAGGGGTGAGTTTGCTGCCATTTATTCCCACACGGCCGCCGGGATTTTCTGAGGCATAACATCTCTGATTAAGCGTTCCTTCGGAAGGGAAGCCGTTGGTCCCCGGTTCATGAGTTGATGGGTCGATAGGTAAGGTCCAGGTGTGGAAGCTGCCTTCCTGGCATCGGTAGCTTTGGTGCGCTCAGCACGAAAAACAAGATCGACGGAAAACAAATCAGGGGGGAAAAACACACACACCAGAGCGTAAAATTATTGACTGTTAAGGCTGAGTGTGAAAGCACTGCACTATTCAATCCATTGCGCTGTGCAGACCGCTTGTACCAAACGGAAAAGGACGAGGCAATGAAAGAGCCAACAAAAACATTCAGTCACTCACGAGCAGGCGAGTCACACCGCTTGCCTTCGCTCACACAGCATGTAATTGAGTCATTTTTGCCTAGAAAATGTACGCCCAGTCATTCAAAACAAGGATTGGGTACCATAACGGAAGAATAAACGTGCTCAGCTACTGACTGAGTGCTCGGCTGTCAGTGACTCGTTTACCTCTCAATCATTCAGACTCTCACGAGGCAGTGAATGATGAGGCATATGGCAGTTCATATTCATATTCATGAACCTGACTGTTTTCCGCACTGAAACCCACCATACTCTAACAGGCCTGAAAGGACTAGGAACTGTAAATAATAATTAAAATTTCAAAATAACTAAAGTTGAAAAGACGCATCTGTGTCACTTGAAAATCCATTCCACAAATTTCAAAAGTCAGCATAATTACCGTGCACAGCTCTCACTTAGCAAGTGACAATGACGATAAAAACGCTTTCTACGCGCAGTTGGAACGGGAATACGATAGCTGCCCCCTCAAAATCGTTATCGGAGATCTTAACGCTAAGGTCGCTCAGGAGGAGGAATTCAGACCGGTTATGGGAAAGTTCAGCACTCACCAGCTAACGAACGCAAATGGCCTCAGACTCATCGATTTCGCCACCTCTAAGAAAATGGTTTAACCTATCAAAAATGCAAAGGTATCGATTAATATAGTAACATGAAGTAAAAGATATATAGTTTTTAAGTGATCAGTACACACTTTAGGTTTATTAGTTCTAATATAACTATTGTATCGTTCTCTTGATTTTATTACGCGTCCGGCCATTAACTTTCATCTGTGCAGTTATCCCAACCATTTTGAATGATTTGGTCTACGCGAAAGTCAATACACAGTTACTGAATTCTATCAATGTACAATTCTGTACACTTCCCAAATTAGGTAGGTATCTAAATCCCTAAAAAAAAACTCTTCCTTCTTCGAGTTGCGAAAATTTCACCGAAAAACCGATTTCATGAAAACAACATTTACAAACGACGACGAACGCAAACCCTATCGATATTAGAGAAACCGGTGCACAGGTCAATCTGCTTCCGTGCAATGTGTGTGGGTGTGTGAATATAACTGTGTGGACATTTGTCTCTTAGTGCTATAATTACTCTGCGCGTACGATTCCTAGTGATGGTGAATGTTGAAAAGGTCACCTGCCGAAGGTAGCGGAGCGAGCCCACCCGTAACATCAGGCAACGCTGTGAGATCGGGTAGGTTGTTCATGTGGTTGCGCACTTCCCGCTGGACTTCTTTGATTTTGGATAGTTTGGATTGGTATTCCTGAAAAGTAAGTAAGTGTTTAACAAACGTTTCAGGCAAATTAGACTGTCTCCAATCTCCATACTTGTAATCGCTGCTCAGCTTGTGCCAACAATTCTTGCTGTTCGCGTTGGAAATCTTTCAACATCGTCGTCAACTTTTTCCGATCATCCATTTCCGTGGCGAGACGGGCATTGTAGTCGTTGAGGATATTAATGGCATCATTTACCTGAAATTGTTATGCCACCATCGTTATTCAAGTATGAATCCATTCATAAATAATACAAACCTTCATAGCCAACCGCATCGCTGCTTCTTTATCTTCCAACTTTGCCAGCGCGGACAGCTCGGACACTTCTGGTGGCAAATTTGCGATCCGCTCTCGAACAACCGCGTCGCTCGATGCTGAATTTTCCAGATCCTGTAGAACTTTAATCAGCTCCTCTGGCTCTGGAGGATCTCCTTCCGGTTGGTGTGGACTTAGCGTAACGTGAGTTTCTACCGTTCCATTCACTTCAATGATCTCGCTTTTAGCCTTCTTATCGTTGCTTTTTTCCGAAGGTTTAGCTTTCTTGTTTACGTGGCCCGGTTCATGCCCTTTCGTGTCTTCAGCCTTCCGTTTCTTCTCTTCGACAATCTTGGTCACCGCAGGACTTTTCTCCCTTTGATTCAGTGCCGCGGAAAATTCTTTGATTTTAGCCTCCTCGTACACGCCTCGCTCGCCCCAAATCTTCAAAATGCGGTTCAAATTGTGAATGGTTTTATCCTCCGGACCGGATTGCGCAATCAGTTTAAATGCTTTCAGCAGAACATGTTCAAATTCCTTTCCAAATTCAGGACCCTTTTTCTTGCTGTTCTGAATCACATCATTCGCAAGATACATGAACGTTAACTTTTTGGATGTCGGAGCTACAAACAATCACAATCAGGGAAGGTTAGGAACCGGAAGTTATATCGAAACAACAGACATACCTTTTTGCAATTCCTTCAACCATGTTTTAACGATGATCGAATTATGCTTCCGATGGTGGATCAACCAGAGGGAAAGGGTTTGTATGCTTTGCTGGCTTGGATTGAGCTCAAGCAGCTTCTTCACCAGACCGGACTCCGTGAAAGACGACATCTTTGAAGGTTGTTGAACCAGCAAAATAGTCCTCAATTCCGTTCGCCACCGTTTGCAAACGCTCGAAACGCTACCGAGCAACGATTGAACATTCACAAACTGAAAATTTCTTATGGAATATTACGAAATCCTCACAATATTTTTTTACTTTTTGAAGAGAGTGTATTTCAGCAAACTGCTTCAGCAGCCGATTCACGATGACAGAAACACCAAAACATTTCAAACGACTTTCAAAATCAAACGTCAAAACAAACACGCCGACAGAGCTGTGCGCTATTTGCGCAAGATGCGACGCGGCGCTTAAGGAAAAATCGAGCAGGAACTATTCGAGCAGTGGAACACTTTGTCAAGCAGTTTTGGCGTGACTTTCTACCAACGATTTCACAAAACTGGACCAACTAATTTCTATTTTTTTATGAAACACACAAATGTTGGTTACTTTTCTCGAGGTTCTAGAAGAAAAAATCTCAAAATAATGTTTTATTTAAAAGTTCGAGTGGAAGTATATGTCATTTTAACTGCTCGAATGAAGTGGTTAATTATTGTTGGCTTAGGCGTTCGCAATGCTGAGTTTCAAAATTGTTTTAAACTACTCGTCAATTCTATAATTTGAAACTGTCAAAAATAAAACTGCAACACGATCAGCGCAACGCACAGTTCTAAAAGATGTTTGTAATCATCAAGTTCCATAAACTTTACTGTTCTCTATGAAGTTCTCCGTTTTTCTGGTGCAAAATAGTGCTCTTATATTGAATTTATGTGAATAAGTATTATCGAAACAATCAAATGCAATATAATTTCAACAGGAATAAACCATTTAATTCGAGCAGTTGAAAATGACGTTTCCTACCACTCGAACTTCGAAATAACACAATATTTTGAGATGGTTTCTTCCAGAACCACGAGAAAAGTAGCCAAAAGTAGTGCGTTTCATAGTAAAATAGACATATGTTGGCTCAATTGTGTGAAATTGCTGGTAGAAAAAAACGGTAAAACTGCTTGACAAAGTGGTCCATTGTTTGTTTAAATACAACTAAAGTTTTTTTCTATGGTTCAATGCAAACAATTTTCTGTCGGTGTACGGTAACCCGCATAAACGCGAACAATAACTTGACCTTACCGAAAATGGTTAAATAAATCTTATCATTCCTGCTAAACTTTAACTAAAATGGTTATGGAACTTTACATTACGTTTGTGTGATAAAGTATTATGGTTCTTTGGAAGTGAACCTTACAAATAATGGGTTGTTAAGAACCATTACCATTAAAAATAGTTGTTTCTCCATACATTTTCGGAGAGAGGACTATATTAGAACCTTTATACTTATGGTTTGAGAACTTTAATGGTTTTGTATTATTTGTCAACTTTACGTGGAAGATATCGCAAATTGGTATTTAGTAATTTAAAGACGATATATTCCACATAAAGTTGATGGATGTTACAAAACCATGTATAAACCTTACCGACTACCATAAACATTACCATTAAAGTTCTCAAATCATAAATAAAATGGTTTCCCAAAAATGCATGCAGTAAACAAGAATTTCGAATGGTAATGGTTCTTAACATCCTACACGCAGAAAAATTTACCGTTGAAACAAACTTATTTGAGGTAAATTTAAACGTAAACTCAGTTTGTTCTGGCCACAAACATAAAATCAAGGTTGCAAATACTCATTTCAGCAAAAATAATGTTTTTCGGAATAATAAAACCAACAAATGGTATGATTACATGTCTTACTTGTAACATACAATTCACGAAACCGAATTTTGTTCATTTAAGTCAAAAATAAAAATGTTCATTCTATAAACATATGAATAATTCAAAATAAATTAAAAACATGTTTGCAACAAAAATATATATGTTTGAATTAAAGTCAAAAGCATGTTTATATCTGGGACGGGACTTGACAATCGAGCTTCTCACTCTTCTTAATGTTTTTGAAGAATGCCCTTCGGAAACTTGTGCGTGGTGTTTGACGGAGTTGACCAAGGATGCCAGGAATGTATAATATTTATTCTATATTAATTTGGATTTTATGCGGAGTTCCTTCCGCAGCTTAACAACATGTGCATCATTTTTGCTCAACACAATAAAAACAACCATAAACAAACAACAATATCCAACGCTTAAAACACGCAATGCACTCAATTTTTCAACTTTCCTTTCGCAAATATAAAAAAAAATTAACAATGCCATTCACGTCAACATTGATTCCGGCATCACTGCTAGCCAGATTGATGCGATCCCTCTGTCCTTTTTATTCCACGATTGCTACTGTCAAATCGACCAATCAGAAACTGGCTCGGATTTGACAGCAAATTGGCTCGAAATCGCTACCCGATTGTCAAGTCCCGTCCCAGGTTTATATTAACAATATAGAATTTGGGTAAAGGATTTTTAGCGTGCCCTGCATTTTTTTCCTTCTTGTTTACATTCGGTAAAAAATTGCCCTATATAGCTTTGCCTATAAACTGAAAACGGCCCGCAACAAAACCGAAGTCATGGACACCTAGGTAAGTGTCTTAACAAAGGAAAATGAAAATCCGAAATTGATACTATTCCGGATCCTCTACCCAGGGGGATAATGTCATTTCTTCCTGTTTGCTTCGAGCTTTTGTCTTTGATCTTCTCTCCTGCCATAAGCAGATCCGAAACATCCTCCTAATTTGCACCTGCCTTGTGTTCTTGCTCTTTCCGTAATTGCTCCAACTTCTTCCGCTTCGAAACTTCAGCAAGCTTTATCATATTCACACAATCCTGACTCGACTGATGAATTTATTGGATCAACTTCTTACTAAAATCTCGACTAAAATCAGTGCTGTATGCATCCTCCTTCCTTACCGAACTCAACGGTTTCTTCTTCCGATTCCTGCATTGCAATCAAACTGAATTCGGGATCTTCCTGCAGATCGTTTTTTTTTTTCATCTCTTGGCAATCCATTTTTCTGCTTATTCTACATTCAAATGCTAATATAATTTAAAATTAAGTATGTTTCTTTCAAACATAAGAAGCATGTTTAAAATAAACATATTTATTTTTGTTCGCATAGTTGTCAAACCAAACAAAAATATTCACGTTTATTTTCAACACGAATATTTTTAAAATAAACGTAACATTATTTTTATTTTAAACATTAATATTACATGACTTCAAACATGGAATACGTTTGAAATAAACATTGTTTATTTTTGTGGCGAGAAAAAACTGAGTTTATGTTTAAATTTACCTCAAATATTTTTGTTTCAACAATAAATTTTTCTGCGTGTAAGAAGAGGCTACAAAGTATGCGTTTGAAACATGAAGTCCGTTAAATTGCCTTTTATGAGTTACAATCAGCGATTTTCTGATCGCTGAGTGAGTGAGTGTGTGAAAAATCGCTGATTGTGACTCACATGAAGTGAAATAAACAGATTTAATATGTCAAACACATTCTTTGCAACCTCTTCTTGTATCTTACCAATTCAAAATATGATCATAGCATCTAATTATTTCATAATTAAAAAAAAAACATTGTTTTAGCTGAAATGAGTATTTGTAACCTTGCATATAATAGGTTGATTTCAAACGTATTCCATGTTTGAATCCATTGATAATAATGTTTAAAACCAAAATAATTTAACGTTTATTATAAAAATATTCGTGTTGAAAATAAACGTGAATATTTTTGATTTATTTGACAACTAGGGTGGGTGAGCCAGTAGTGGAGGTACTAAGCAATTTTATTAATTTAACAATAAATATACGATGTACACACAATTGTTATACGTCAATCTTTAACTTTCAACCTCTACACAGCAAAAAAAAATGTAATATCGATCAACGTAATTCAAGCTGATGCATGAAATAATCATGTAATAGCAGAACGCAGATACAATATTACATCAATGGATGTAATTTTGTTCGCAAAATCGATGTACATCGTACAATGTGATTTTACACAACCGATGGATTGACCTGGTTGCAGCAGTTTCGATGTAATATTCAACAACTTTTTTTGCTGTGTACCTGATTACCCAGATTATGTTTTGTTTAAAATAAACATGCTTTTGAATTTAATTTAAACAAACATATTTTTGTTGAAAGCATGTTTTAATTTACTTTGAACTATTCATATTTTTATTTAATAAACATATTTATTTTTGATTTTTGGTTCCGTGTATTATTTGAAAAATTCACTTACAAAAAACCTTAATACATAAGGTTAAAACTTTATCACACGTTTATGTAAAGTTCCATAACCATTTCAGTCAAAGCTTAGCAGGGATGATGAACCATTTTTAACCATTTTTGGTAAGGTCAAGTAATGGTTCGCATTTATGCGGGAGGCTGTATTATCTATGCCTACCAGGGAGATTGACAACGGAGAAAACTGCACAACACTCACGAACACTACCTGCCATTATTTTTCTACAATTGACCACTTTGTCAAGCAGTTTTAGCGTGATTTTCTATCAACGATTTCACAAAACTGAACCAACTAATTTCTATTTTTTATGAAACGCACAAATGTTGGCCACTTTTCTTGAGGTTCTAGAAGAAAAAATCTCAAAATAATGTTTTATTTCAAAGTTCGAGTGGTAGTAAACGTCATTTTAACTGCTCGAATGAAGTGATTAATTTAACGGAACTAAACAAATACATTGCAGCATCTTCAGAAACCAACGATTTACAGCCCGAAACCATGCCCGTCTGAGTAAACGGCATGTTTGTCGACCAAAAGATTAGCCGGCGCCGGTGGTGTAGTGGTAAGCGTGACTGCTTTCTCACCCCAATGGGTCTGGGTTCAATCCCAGCCGAGGTCGGTGGGATTTTTCTGAGGCATAAAAATCTCTGGTCACGTCTTCCTTCGGAAGGGAAGTAAAGCCATCAATCAATACGAAACTTACGATTTTAAATTGGCTCACTACTTGACTAGCCTATTGGTCCCAAGCAAATCGACTAACGTATCCGATTCTAGTATAAATACCAGTACTACACTATGTTTGTTTTGATTCGCTATGAAAGCAAGCATCCCAAGGAGGTCAAATCCGAGGAGCTGTCAACTTGAGAATTTTCGATTCATCTACCGAAAATCTTGAAAAGGTGTTTTTTGTATTTTTTCGTATTTATGTATTTTAAGGTAAAAATACACAAATTTTGTATTAAAGAGTATTAAATTCATTATGAAATGTATTTTTCGTGTACGTATTTTCGAGGTATTTTTGAGTATTTTTATTAGGGTATTTTAGGCTCTGAACCATTTGGCGAATTATTTTAACTTTTGGTTAAAATTTGACAGATGGAAAGTTATCGATTAACCCTGCTATCCGAGCGTGGTTATTTCTGACAGACAAAAAGTTAAATTTTGACGACCGTGGCTCGAAAACTGGTCGATCGACAGCACGGGGATTTTCGAACATAAGAAATAACTTTCGAAATGTCACTTTTAACTACGAGTTAAATTTAACTCGGCAAATGGTTCACAGCCTTAGTAGCATGGTAATTTCTGACAGACAAGAAGTTAAATTTTGACAACCGTGGATCGAAAACCGGCCGATTGACAGCCAGGGGGGTTTTCGAACATAGAAAATAACTTCCGAAATGTCACTTTTAACCACGAGTTAAATTAACCTCAGCAAATGGTTCACAGCCTTACGCATACCACAGACAAACGCATACCAAACATTCTGATTGGGTAGCGAGTTGCGCAACCAGTTAAATGTGTGTAACTAGATCGTTCAGCAAAACGGACCAAGAGAAATATTGCTGCTAATGACGATTTTCGATTTAAGAATAACTCAAACATCCGGAAAATAAAGCTAACTAGGGGAATTTACGTATTCTCGGCAACCTAAGCAGCGACCTTCTTTCTATAGCCTTTTTCACTATGCAACGCACACATATGCAGTATTGGTTTGTTTACAATCTTTTGCTGCCAGCTGCTCTATTAATTTCAGTCGAAGGAATTGTCAAAAACTGTTTTGAAACGCTTTTACAAAGCTCCAATCTTCTCTAGTGAGAGCGAGTATTGTCGGAAACCAGTTTTTCTTCGGCAACCGTTCCATTTGAACTGCATGTAAATCTGCTGTTCTATTATCGGCAACTCGAAATCAGCTACAATTTGTAGTGCGTGTGTTTCATTTCAAGAAAACCCTGCTAGATTGCTTTTTCTCAGTGGTAAAAATATAGTCAAATTGAAGCTGAAAGCATAAAGAATCGTTTGCATGCATTCAGCGAAGTGTTTTCGTAAGAAAATCCAGTGAAAATAGTGTTTCAATTTGGGTTGCCGAAAATAGTCTGTCATGCCGAAGCCGTCATTTCCCCTATCACTTTCTTTCTCATTCAGCATCTGAAGCCTTTGTGCTCTTACAACTGAGTCGCTTCGTTGAAATTTACAAAAAACGAAGCCATCTTACCATTAAATCGTCGTTAAACACTCAAACACCCAAGTTTATAGTTTTTTTTTTTATTTTTCATAATGGAAATTGAATAAATATTTAGTAGCTTCCATTATATTTTATTTCGAAGATGCAGAATATCAATTATTGTTACTTTACTCTAAAAATCTAACGGGTGTTCAATAAAAAATGTGATTTTTTTCAGTCATAAAGCTAACGGGTGGCAACTAAAATTTTGGAATTTCTTTCTCAAGCTGTCAAAAAAAGACAAACATACTTGAAGAAGATCTGATTTATTGAAATTAAAGATACATTGTCCATTGTTGAAAAAAAATATAGTGAACATTTGAAAACGGTCCGTAATCGGATGCTCGGCGTTTGATGTCGGAACAGGAGCGTTTTACGGCCTTCATGTCAACTTTGCGAATGCATCTCTTGATTCTACCAATCAATTGTTTGCAATTCGTGGCTCTCCAGTTATTTTTGTACACCAAGGAGCTCAAAACCCCGAAGAAATCTTCGATTGGGTGACACTGAGGCAGATTTGTCGGGTTGTGGTTTTTGGGTACAAATGGGATCGAATTTTTTTTCAGGAACGATTGTGTTTTTTTGGCGTAATGCGATGACGCTTTATCCGGCCAAAACACGTATTTTCCATCAGCATGATGTTTTTGTAGAAACGGGATCAAAATTTTCTTCAAACATTCGTTCTGGTACACATATTGATTGCCAAACCAGAGGACTTGAACCATGGCTTAGAAAGGCCTTTCTCGGAATTTTGCGTCCATAATTTTGGCTGGTCTTCCACTACCTTGCTTGCGAGCAGTTGTTGGGGATCTTAGGATATGGTAAACAGTCGAAGCCGCAACATTTTCGCTTTTAAAATGTTGTACCGTATACTTTTTGCCGAGATTTCTGTGCAGTTCGTAGAACTGTACAACGCGCTCGCGAAAAACTTCTTGTTTCGACGGCATTTTGAGCAAAACTGAGCAAGCATAAACAAAACAGAAAATACTAGCAGAAAGAGGAGAGAGAGCTCGTTTGTTGTTGAGCATAGAGGCTCGAAAAAATTCCAAAATTTTAGTTGCCAACCGTTAGTAAAAAAAAAATTTTTTTTCAACAATTTTTTTTTTATTAAAAACATAGTATTTATTCTTCAAAAAAACGTCAATGAATATTGAAGAAGAGGCCCTGGTCAGCCGTACGATGCAACTAAGTCGCGATGCTCTCGCAATAAGAGCGCTGGACGGCACTGAAATCATTCTCATTTTTTATTGAACACCCGTAGTTTAATTGATTAAAAACAAATTAACAAAAGCCCGAATCGGGAAAATGACAAAGTGTTGCTTTCTAGAGTTTTTTTTTTCGGCCTTTTGTGTATTTTGGCCTTTAGTGTTTTTGGCCTTTTGAGATTCGGCCTTTTCTAGTACTCCCCTCAATACAGATTGAAAAAGCAGTTGAGAGCAGGGGGTAGTAAAGTTGGAACACACTACTGGGCATTGACGTAACCGAGGGGGACGACTCTATCTACGATGCAGGAAATATTGTGTTTTGCTGTGGCTAGCTGCGCGTACGCTGAGTAGAAAGAAGATTTATCACGATTTTGAAGATTTCCTGCAAAAAGATGATGCGCGATGCAAGTAGATGCGAGAAATGAAAGAAGATTTTTCGAAGATTTATTCGCTAGTGTGAGATTTATTGAGCATCTAAATTTGAGATTTAGATGTGTCGCCCCCCTCGGACGTAACTGAGGAAAAAATTCTATTTGTCGACTTCTTAATTCTCGAGTCACTTTTCAAATGGACTAATGTAACATATCCATCATTTTGAGAAAATCGATGTTGAAGTTCGACAGATTATTATTTTGACTGTTTAGAAACAATACATTTTGTAATACTATTTTAAATGTAGTCAGTGAATAATAACGTTGAAAATTCAGTAGAAACGCTAAAATCACAATTTTATTTTGAATTCCATGCTACAAAATAGGAAAATAACACATAGGACGTTTTTACAAGTCAAGTTGTACATTGGACATGTCACATTAGACGATTTTTCTCAATAACATAATCAATCAGTGTTACATTGGACGTTTTTTTTACATGATACTAGATTCTCTTTCACAGATTTAAGAGTAAAGCTCGGTTCAAAGGTAATCTGGACGCACGGTGTAATACACCACCGCGCCTCTGGTGGTTGAAACAAAAAACGTTTGACAGGCATTTGTTGATGTTTCATTGACAAAAAAATTGGTGAAAAGTTTTTCTCGATTGATCGACGCATCCCGAAATAACGGATCATGGAACTTGAGAAAAGAAAATAAATGTGCTCAAACATCTAGAGAACCCTTCGTGGTCTGCCTCAAAAATAGCAAAAGTGTTAAAATTCCCAAAGTCAACGGTGAGTCTTGTAATCAAACGTTACAAGAATACTCTGAGTTTGGAAAAATCACAGTGCATCTATCATAAAAATGGCACTAGGGACAAAGAGCTGAGGAGAAAGGTGTTGAGGTACGTGAAAAGCAACCCAGGTGTCTCCATACGTGATTTGGCAAAAAAATATGATTCCAACTTTTCCACCGTGCGTAACTTCCTTTCAAGAGAAGGATACCCGAATAAAAAATATTATAGAAAAACAATACGATTCATTGTAACAGTACTATTTGGAACATTATGATTACCATAAAAGCTATTGTAATTATAACAATAAAAATATGTTAAAATGGATTGTTTCAAACTTTTGAATGTATGGTAAACGGAGCTTTTACAGCGGAATGTACGGGTTGTTAAGTATCGTAACAGTTCAAAAATTTGTTTTTTCTCATAGTATTTTTTCTCCAAAACAATAAGATGAATAGTAATTATATAGTTATTAGAACTGAACAGAACATCAAAGTTACTTAAGGTTTGATTGTTAAATGACGGTAACAAAACAATAAAAAGAATATTGATCATACTGTTCTGAATAGTGACTAAATCGCTGATTCAACAATCTATTGAATGGTATGATAATAGTTTCACCATTCAATGTTGTATTGTTTTACGAAAAAACGACGGTACAATATGTTGCTTATTATTTTAGGCTGTATAATTTTCTTGAGAATAGAGAAAAACAAAACCTGTTCTGCAACGAATATTTCTTTATTTTTATATCGTTAAAAGGTGTCGAAGTTCGTTCATTAAAATTTGCTTAAAAAAATGAAAAAGAAAAAATAAGAACATAAAACATATGTTGGAACGTATGTTTAAAAACCATTCGATTAACAATGAAAACATTTAGTAGAAGTTAGTAAAAAAATGCATCGTCACAGAAAATCTGCCAAATTGATGCAAAGGAATTCGTACATATGTGGAATCCGAGAAACGATTTCTCTAGATATCTCTAGCCAAGGTAAATTTAAATCAGTTGGCTGAATCTCTTGCTGTTGCATTGGCATCCTGATTAACATCTTGAATGACATTGCGTGCCGCCGCGTATCTTGCTGCCTTTTTCAGATTTGCGATTTTTTCTGCGATGCCCTTATTGATTCGCGTTGGATGAGCCAATGTAGTGATTTGTGCCAAATTTTTGGTACCAACCCGTGAGGCGACACGCTGTTGTACTTTTTCTGTTGGTAGGTAACATGGATTAGAGTATGTTCTGTTTAAATCTTAATCAAACTACCACACTTACCGTAAATAAATGCCAACTTCTTGGGTGAGATTCCAGGACGTGGCATAGCGTTTTTGAAACGGTTGGTTGCAACACCACAAACTGACATAGTTTGCAATTTTTGAGCACCATAAAAAAATAAAGCCATATTCTGTCCGAATGAAACATCTGTTTTGGACGCAGCGCTGATTTCCTCAATCTGCTGAACAGTCATATCGATTTCAGGTTCCGTTGAGAATGTCTATAGAAATTGAATAAATGTCAACATCAATAAAAATTGAACAGAAAATACACTAACCAATTTGGCATTTGGGTCCAATTGTGCTTTTTTAGTTTCAGCATTAGCAAAAACTACAAGGTCTTTCATTTCTGCGAAACTCAACTTCAGTTTCTCATATTTCGCCTTTATATCTTTATGTGCTTTCGATTTCTTCTTGAATCTCTCCAACAAATCGAAATACTTGCTGCGATATGAGTCGTTATCTTCATTTTCGACACCATCAGACTGACGAGATGCCTCATCTGGCCTTTTCTTTGAGATTTGGGGTTCTGGCGGTGATACGGTGGTATGATGTCCATCAGTGTAACACATTTCGGCAACAGGAAGCTCCGGGCGATACGAATTAGCTGCACCTCCAGAAGCTGGGCTGTTGATCGCAAAATAATTCAGCTGACGTGGCCCCCTCTTATCCAGGGTACCATCCTCAAAAGCATCCAACGGGGAAGGGTCGTCAATTGGGATTGTACGCTGAGAGAATCCGGTGTCTGAGAAATCGATGACAAGATTCCTTGGCAGAGAGGACTTTTTTGATGTGATTGGAGATGCAGTAGTAACGGATTTGAATTTTTTGGCAGCATTATCGTGACGGACAGGAGAATCGGTGGTGTCATCATCTGAATCTTCTATCGCTCGAGAGCTGGATACACTTTGACCAACAGCCGAACAGATTTGATTGATTGAACACACATTCCTTGGCAGAGAGGACTGTTTTGTTCTGATCAAACCTCTGGCGGAAAGACGCATGGATGGAAGCTGACTGCTTTCCACAAATTCATCGGCGGAATCGGCAGTTTGATCATCTGAATCTTCCAATGCATGAGAGCAGGATGCATTTTGACCCACAGCCGAACGCTGTTTTGCCTTCTCACGAACTTGGTCCGTCCGGGCTTGGCTTAGATTAAGCGGATCGGTTGAATATTTCTGAGTATCCTCTGTCATGCTTTTTGTGGTATTCACTGCAACGAATGTAAGGCCACCGGTGGTGTAGCTTTCGCCATTCACTTCAGCCATTGCTACACTCAGCTATAAACCAAAAATCATATAATAATCATATGCATTGTACACAAAAAAAAAATAAACTCACAGCGTCCATCAAATGACTTTGATTGCAGTTTTTGGCTCGTTTGCGGACGCCATCTTGTTTATCCTCTGCAGTTCGTTCCTTCGGTTTTTTGGTAGGTTTTCTTTCTGCTTTAGCTGAAAATAAAAGCAAGCATGTAAACATTCATTATTAGTTTACTAAAATGAAAATATTCCAATAACAACTTACCGTTTTTTTCGATTTTTCAAAGAAGTTTCCTTTTTCTGTGCCATTTTGTGCAATCAACCGAGAAAATATTACAAAACACGTCTTTAGCGTCGTACTCCAAGACTAAAATGGTGGTGCTTCTTTTACAAGCAAACAAGATGAAGCTAGAATAACAAATAAAAAGAGCCAATTCAAATCAGTTGGACAATTTCCACTTAAACTTGGTGGAAATGCTGATGATGGAAAATTTTGAAATTAATCTGCTATTCGAGCAGAATTTTTTCTGACAGACAAGAAATGAATTTTGACAGAAACCTTTACGAAAATCGACCCATCAACAACAGAGGGATTTTCAAACATCTTAATTTATTTTTTAAGTGTCAAATTTAAGTGAAAATTCACCAAATGGAACACAGCCTAAGAATATCTGATCTGAAAACCGATTTGATTTTATCAATTGCTTGTGAATTTGTCTCGAATAAATCTAGATCAACATTTGAAATACGCGAAATAATCAAACGTAAACAATGATTTTGAACGCAAATTTCTCGAGAACCAAAACACATTCAAGCAATCTAACACCAGCATCTGATGTAGGTGTGTTTTTATTCTCGAGAAATTTGCGTTGAAAGCCATTGTTTACGTTTGGTTGTTCCGCTTTTTAATTATTGGTCTAGAAATGTAATGTTACTAATGTAGGTGCTGTTTAATATAAATCTGGTTACGGATTGTATTTAAAAAATATGAAAATCTGTATCGAAATCTGTTTGCGTTGCGCGATAAGCTAAAAATAAAATCACTAGAGCATCAATCAATATACGAATAGACCTCATCGAAACATTACGCTAGAATTCACAAAGCTGTCACTTAGCGAATTTGTTTATTATCCAGTTCCAACCTGGATCGGGTATCAAGATTGTGTCTGCTTGTTATGCTTATTATCGGGTCGAGGTTCGCACTGACAAAAAGTTCGGGTTCGCACTGGGTTGGAACTGGTTCCAACCTGGGAATAAAAAAATTCGCTAAAAGTTATCAACGACCAATGCCATTTATAGGAAGTCCAGCCCAAGAGGCTTATTGGTGTTAGTGAAATGTGTAAATTAGTGGCGTTCGTTGCTACGTCATGTTCTATATTCATAGTATGGAATTTTGTGCTAACATGACGTATGCACTTACTTGCTCAGCAATGTTTACAATATTTTTGCCTCAATTTTTGCTTCCAATACCAGCAAGTTTCTTGTTGGGCCGGAACTTATATAGACTCATTGAGCATTGTGGTCTACGCTCATATCAAAAACAATTCCTTTACCACTATTTCAGTCTAAAAGTGAGTTTTTGGAAGCTGCAAAAATGAAAAAAATGCGCAATTCGAGGCTGGATACACTATTTTGTGGTAATAAGAACGTTCCATATGCGCGACGATATCGACTGGTAAGAATCGAACATTTTTTATATGGGACAGCCATATTAAAATACTTTATTATAATACAGTCGGAACGTGCTGAAGCGACTTCATATAACGATGGAGCTGGTAGGAATCAACAGTACAGGGACGTAAATAATGCACAATCACGAGCACTTACAAACCAGGAGAATCACGATAAGGAGCACTCCAATCGGGAAATGCAAATGCAAACAACCGGAGTGGAGCAGATGACACCACAAAAATCGCAAGGAAATCCAAGTTTAAACATTATTGAACAGCAGGTATTTTACCTAATCTAAAATGGGTATTGCAGCACAATTTATAAAATTGATGAAATTTCGTTTGTAGACTTTATTATCATGTTATCCAGAGCTAGAGACAAGAGAAACTGTTGTAAAGGAAAGTCTCAGAAACGACCAAAGGTTAGATGATGCCAGTTACATAAGTAAATCCAATGCAATGCCCCCCAATAATCCTGGCTATTTGGATGACAGTAGTTCGGAAGAAGATTGTAACTCGGAATACGATACATTTTCGGAGCCTGATTCTGAAAACTATGAGCAGGAACAGGTAACACTTTTTTCATACAAGTTAACCATTATCTATCATATTTAATTAACTATCACAAAAAACACTCAGTTATTGCGATTTTCCAAAGTATATCATGTGTTTATTCTTTTTTTGTCACAGGATCATTTCATGAACGGGGATGATCTTCTTCATCCACAGCTTCTGATCACCAAGTATGAGGTATTGATCATGCTCATGCATGTTTTCACACGTCATAATCTTTCGAAAAGTGCGCTTGAAGATTTACTTCATTTGATCAACGTCATTGTTGGGTTTTCATCACTTCCGAACACTTACTACTCATTTTTTTCACACTTTGGAACACATCAGTTCGTGCGTCACTATGTATGTAAAGTTTGTGGATTATACGTAGGAAATAACAAGGACGAAAAATGCAAAATTTGTGAAGAAAGTGAAAAAACCTTTTTTATCTCATTTGATCTGACCTCAAGTCTCAAGAGTATTCTTTCGAAGAACTGGGAACAAATTGTGGCGTACAAAGCATCCTTAATTGACGGGCAAATTAGTGACATTCTACAAGGACAAGTGGCTCGCAAGATGGATAGTGTATACAACATTTTGATTTCTTTCAACACGGATGTAGTAGCTGTCTTCAATTCTAATATAAAAAAATCATTGTGGCCCATATTAGTGACAATCAATAATTTACCGCCATCTCTGAGATTTTTGAGACAAAACATTATAGTTGTTGGGCTTTGGTTGTCAAGTAGTGAACCTGACCTCGACGTATTTATTAAGCCGTTTTTGGAAAAATTGCAGGTTCTAGCACACGAAGGCTTATCTTTATCTAATAACATATCATGCAAAGTTCTCGCTATTTGTTGTTGCGTTGACAGCATAGCACGCTGTAAACTTCAGCAGATAAAGCAGTTCAATGGATACGAAGCCTGTAGTTTTTGTATGCATCCTGGTTATTTAACTGAGAGTAATCAAATACGTTACAAATATCTTGAAGTGCATAACAGAACTCATCAGGACACTGTTAGGGCGATGGATTTGTGCATGAAACGTGGCATAGCTGTAAGCGGAATCAAAGGGGTCTCAAATTTACTGTTGATTCCATATTTTGATATCATCACCAACTGCCCAGTTGATTACATGCATGCAGTTTTTCTTGGGGTTTGCAAACAATTCTGTGGACTGTGGTTCGAATTCAGCAGTAATGAATATTGTATAAAACGCTACATTGGGAAAGTAGATAACATTATAACATCCATACGCTCTTTTCAAGAATGCTCAAGATCTCCTCGTAAGGTTTCCGATAGAAAGACATGGAAAGCAAATGAATGGCAAAATTGGTTGTTAATCTATAGTTCCGTTTGTTTAAAAGACTTTTTACCGAAAAGTTATTACGATCATTTCCAATTATTAGTAATAGCAATAGAAAAACTTTTAAATACATGTATTACTGCCAAGGAAATTGCAGAAAGCGAGAGATTATTAAAAGTTTTCGTTCAAAATTGTGAAGTGCTATACGGTATCGATGAAATGAAGTACAATGTTCATTTACTTCTGCATATAGGCTCTTGTGTTAGAAATTTTGGTCCTTTGAGGGCATTTTCACTTTTTTGTTTTGAAGATATGAATGGAGTTTTGAAACAATTCATTAAAGGTCCAAAACAACCTGTTATCCAAATTGCAAGTCGGTGTATCTTAGTGCAAAAGAAAGATAGTATTAACCTTAACTTAATTCAAAATAAAGAAGCTCGAGAATTTTGTGAATCCATGAATCGTTACAAACACAAAAGTAAGTGTATAAATGAAAATATTAATATTAGAAATCATGAGATATGTATACTAGAGGAACAAATTCCACAACAACTACTCGAAGAGCGAAATATTTTGATTCAGAACAGATATACATTTAAACCGGAAAAAATATCCTCTTTTAAAAAATCTGATGATTCAACATTTACTATGAATGTGAAAGGTGAAATTATACATGGAATTATCCAGCGCATCCTCTTTTCAAATTCCAATTTTTATTTGATTTTCAAGCAGATACTCGTTCAAAAAGAACAAGAGCTGATAATTGGAACAGAAATCAATAACAAAACGTTTGTTAAAGTTAATGACTCAATTAAGAAATGTGTCCGAATCTATGCTTCAAACAAAATGTATATAAGAATTGTTAAATATGTACCATGGGTCGACTAAATTGTATTTTTTGTTACAATAAAATGTGTAAAATATGTTAATTCATCACTTTATTTCCTATGATCCAGTTCCAGGAAAATCTACACTGTTCTGAAGTTAAGAAAGGTTCAAACATAAGAATAACAATACATTGTGTTGTTACATAAGAATATGATGTTTATGTATGGTAGTTACAATACGGAAACATTTTGTCTTGTCATTCAAATACAATATATCGTATTGTATGTTATAGAGCCTACTGTATACGAATGGTTTATACAAAAAAAGCAATGGTTTATTTTTATCCGGGTATAAGTCTTATTGTGCCAGTAAACATCCGAATCGCTCTCTGAAACAAAATTTAGTGGCCAAAAAGCGAGCACGATTACTATACGAACGAGTTTTGACGAAATTTGATGGCTATAAATTTAATGGATGACGAAATATATGTCAAAATGGATTATAAACAAATCAAACAAATACCCGGAAATTTTTACCTGGAAACTGGTCGTAGGGATGTTCCTTCCAAGTATAAATTTGTTTTTGCTGATAAGTTTGCTCGGAAACTAATGATTTGGCAAGGAATCTGAAGTTGTGGCCTTAAAACCAAGGTTTTCATCACATCTCACACAATGACGTCGAAGGTTTACATTAAAGAGTGTCTGAAAAAGCGGATTTTACCCTTCATTCGGCAACACAAGACCAACGTTATGTTTTGGCCGGATCTAGCCAGCTGCCACTAATCTAAGGAGGTACTAGAATGGTATGCTGCAAACAATGTTAATTTCGTCGCCAAAGAGATTAATCCTCCGAACTGCCCTGAGTTCAGACCGATCGAAACATATTGGGCAATTGTCAAGCGAAAACTTCGAGGATGCGGTGAAGAAGTGACAAATGCACAACAAATGCGTTTAAAGTGGAATAAGTTCGCCGGTACAGTGTCACCAGCGACTGTGCAGATCATGATGGCATCGATCACAAGTAAAGTGCAACAGTTCGTTCGAAACGGTGAAATGTAATAACTAGTTATATATCGTTTGAATGCTGAATAAATACCCTTTTGTTTGACGTTTTGATCAACCGTGTATGTTGTTTAATTCATGAGTTATGATCACTTAAATGCGTCCAAATTTACTTTGAATCGGGCTTTAGCGTACCTAACTTTGGATAGCCTCGCCTTTGGAAAATGAGCACCAATCATGTTAGGCAGTCCGAATGACCGACCTAACAATCATGTACCCATCATTTCAAACTGTATATTGGACAATTTTTGACCTATGATTATTTTAAATAAATTAAAGTAAATTTGGATGGATGTTTTTGTATCACATACAATGATAGAAGAGCAATCGTTTGTATCGCTTAACTCGATTTATTTACATTTCTTTTTACTTAGAACTTTATGAAAAGTTACGCGAGAATTAGCAATTAGCGAACAATTTGGATATGAATTTGGAAATAAAAAAGAAGTAATTGTAGCAACAATTCAAGAGGGAGCTGCGGTCAAGCCCCCCAGCTTCCTTAACCCCCGTAGTTGAGCATCCTTGAAGTCATCGTGTAATTTACTTTTCGAACATAAAATAAAACGCTCATCATTAGTAGTAAATAAAATGTTTTAATAGCTTTTTATGTGGATAAATCTACGGTTTAAATTTAAATATACATACAATATAATCTTCCGGAAGCAATAATATACAAAATACGAAACGTGACTAACGGGGTAGCAGAATAAAAAAAAATCTTCAAAGTAAGAAAAAAGAAGCATCAATTCGGTAATTTCAAATCAGAGATTCGCACGCAGTTCGAAAACCCTACCACTAATATTTAATAGACTGTTTCATAAATTATCGCTTAAATAAGACAAAATAAAAAAAAAAGAAACGCTCGAATGATTTAATGTAAATAATTATACTGTTTCCCAGGAATACTCTCGCGCAGTTGTTTTCGAAAAAAAAAATGAACACCTGCACTGAATTATGAATTGTATTTCTTAATGAAAAGCTTTAAGTTCGAGAATATTTAGCTGCGCTTTAAAACTGATGCCTAAGGTCTTAGAATCTTATCCGTTATAGGTTTATAAGGAATAAATTGGTACGAAATAATGGCTTCTCGCAGGACTAACGTATAGAGACATAATGCATCATGTATATTTGCTTTAGTATTCCTAGACATGTTTGTTTTTTAATTTGCTTGTTTAATTTATTTCAATATTTCAACACATCTGCACATATTGTTCTAGTTTAATAGTTTCAACGATTACTTTTATAGGTAGGTAGCTTGCCTTTCTGTTCCATATCTGTCGTCTTAGCCGAAGCGGTAGCTGATAATTTAAACAGTGTCAGTTTTGTTTCTCATAAATTAGAAATTGTTCCATTGGTGACTCTTTATGCGGATTTGCTTGTTTGTTTTCTCTAATCAAATAACTGATTATCCAATTTTCTATTGATTTACTTTGTGGGGTTTGATTAGTTCTAACGGGAGCACTTTTCCTATGGATACTCTGATTTTTTTTTCCAAGACTTCAAAAGGTACACTCAATACACACAATCGTATCAGATTAATTGATAAAATACCATGTGCATAAAAGCATAATTATTCTTACTAGCGATTAGAGGTTAAAACATGTTTCTCCAGGAGGAAGAAGCTTACGAATAGTAAGGTTAGATGATTTGTTTTGTACAAAAAAAGACCACAAACGGTGTAACAGGTCAACAGCATCCATTACTTTCAAAGATGGACGGTTATGGTGTCTGAGGTGCTGGAACTGATGTGGTTGTTTGTGGAGTTGGTATTGTTAGATGAAGCACTGCTGCTATTACCGCAGGGTAGTTCTACTGATTTTGGTTTATCTTCGGGTGTTTTGTTGTGCTCCTGGCTGGTGGATGCAACGCTGTGGGATTTCTTCAACAGGGTGTGATTCTTCTGCTGGGGCCAAAGGGGATTCTCCAGTGCCTCGTCCGGGCTTAAAGAAATGTCGGCTATGATGCCACTTTCTGGAAATGAGATGGGTGTTATGTTAGGATGTGTTAGACCTTGACGAGAGTCATCTAAAAAAAACTTACCCATTGAACATTGGCTCACCAGCGTGGTCGACCTTTGATGTTTCTTGAAGTTGGTCTTCAGAGGCGCTGGAGCATTTGGATCGGTTATGCTAAGTGTGAGGCGTTTACAGGTTGTAATGCTTGCGGTGGTGCTACTGCTGCTGGTGCTACTGGCACTGCAACCGGACGAAACGGCCGAACTACTTCCGACGGCACTTCCGGAGCTATTGATCGGATTCGTTTCGCAGCCGCTGGCCGTTGAACCGGTTCCGGTACTGACTACCGAACTTCCGGACGATGAACTGCTAACCGAAATGATCGATTGAGGTCGCTTTGAACTCTTGGACTCCGGTAGAGTTCCAATGAAGGAGTTGCGAAGTTTTGGAGCTGGAATAAGAGTTTTGAAATTAGCGACAGGCTGTCGCGTAGCTTTCTGTATAGGCTACTTACTTTTACCAAACATTGAAATACTGATTGATCGATCGTTAATCTGATCCTGACTGGGACGAATGTCCAAGCATGGCTTACTACCGATTCCCATGGAGGACATCTCGGCAAGACGAATCTCTCGATTCCGTTTGGCTTGTTTCCAGAGTAGTTTGGAGACTTCGTCGGTCCAGACATTCTTGATATCCTCGCTCATCGTCTGCAGCGTCCAGGTATCGCCTGGTTTACGCTTGCGGAACCATATCTCAAATTTGTACGGTGAATCACCAACGTGAGCCGTCAAACCGATATCCGCCGTCTTGATGCTATTCTTGTAGATGTAGATGTCTAGGTTCTATGGGTAGTAATACGTTAGAAAGCCGGTTCCAAGGTAAACTCACTTCAAACTCACCTTCCGATCCGGAAATCGCCTAGCTTTGCTGAACAGCACTAGTTCTTCGAACAGGAACACTTGTCGCAGAGATTTTTTGCCTGCTTTGCCCTCCCAAACGAGGAACTCGTTCTGTCGCAGCAACCGGCCCTGTTCCTTCACGTTGACATCACAATCCCGAAGGGAGTCCATCGCCAGCAGATCGTTACCATGCCGCAACTGGAAACGAACCATCTCTTCGGCTTTCTGCAGCTGCTCCATGTCATCCAGGATCTCCTGGTCGGTGGTTTCCTGTAAGAAATCAATTGTTCAATTAAACGTAACGAACTTCCAGTTACACGGTCCCATCCCATACCTGAGCTGCGGCACAGGCCTTCATTAGCTGCTGCAGCAGCAGGGCGTACTTTCCCATCCGCTGGACCGGTTTCAGCAGATACGAGGCTAGATCCATTTTGTCATTCAGCTCCACCTGCTTGGCTTTGAAAAATTGAGTACCATTCTCGCTCATCAGAGAATCACTCTTTGGTTTGTTCTTGTTGTACAACGCATACAGGTAAAACTTGGACTCGTGCCGTAGGAATGCGCTACCGACCTTGATCGGGTGGTATTCGCAACTGTTGGAAAGAACATCGGATTAGTCTACGCCATATGCTCTAGGGAGTAATGTGGGAGCTTACCTTTCCAACTCGCTGAGGAAGTGCTGCTGGTGGAACTCGCATATCCGTTCGATGTTACCGAAGATGACGTTCCGTTGGCCGCGCAGGGCTTGCGGTATGTCTTCGCGAAGCAGTTCTTGCGTGTAGTTTTCGATTACGTACTGCAGCGATCGCACGTAGTCGCGTTCTGTTCCAATCATCTCACGCATGATCAATAGAAGCGTTCTGAAAGAAAATTGGATACGGTCAGTACCTCTACAGGTATTCGAGGGTCTTGGCAGGGCATACTTCTGCGTCTTCTGGTCAAATATGATATTCTCCTCGTAATCTAGCTGCAAGTTCGACGCGTGACAGTAGAGATGGGCGTTTGCCTGCAGCGGTATCTGTAGATCCAGGGAAGGCTTTGAAATCCCTTCAAAGCAGTCCTCATCTAGGTCATCACCATTGTTGCTGCAATTGTTGAAAGTATAGGAAATTGTTGGGCTTGAGATTAGTACAAAGATCTTACCATCCATTCTTCGGATCGTTGAGACTCTGGCACGAGCAGGTCCGTTCGAGCTTCTCATTGCCCTCACAACGATCGCAACCGCCCAGGCCAGAGTCGGCCATTTTCGATTGCTCCTCCTCGTCCTCGTCGTGGTGATGTCGGCCGTGGTTGTTGTGGATACAACGGTTCTCATTGGGCTCGATCAGTGTCGGTGGTGGTAGTGGTTGACCGAACTTGCCCTTCTCCGGCGTGCTGGTCGCCGTGATCGTATCGTCGGATAAACTTATATCTAAACTGATGTTATCACTGGTACTGGTGGTGTTGGTATCTTTGTTGTTATTGTTACTGGCTGGTGGTGGTGGTGGTGATGGTGGTGGTTGTAGTAGATTCTTGCATTGTTCAATCAAAGCAGAAACCTCGACCTTCTCGGCGAGCTTAAGCAGCTCGGTCTGCATGGCATCGTCGTGAGGCTTCAGGCGTTGCGATTCCAGCAGACCGTGCAGGCGAACGGTCCCTTCAATACGCTCCCTCGTCTTCTCCAGCCGTTCCTTATGCTGATCAATGCAGTCCTTCAGCATCTTCAGCGTATCCTTCAGAATTTCCAACTCTGCCGATGCATCGTACAGATCCTGAGCTTTACTGATGTGCTTCATGGAGATGAAGTAGAACTTGTCGAATTCCTGACTTACTACCTTGGTGCGATCGGCATTTTCCAGGTTGGACGATTCGTTGAAGCTCTGCAGGGTCTTGCTGCCATCGTTCCGAATCCATAGTATAACCTGCGATCAAAATTAGACCCGTTAGCCCTGTGATCTACATATGTTGCTAGTGATAGTTTTAGGGAGTACAAATCAAAGTATTAGTTTTAGTATTGGTTCAATCTACAGTGTGTTTCGAAATGTTCTCGTCTAACCTCTAGAGCCAACTCAAATTCAGGTTAGTAGATCATTGTTGAAAAGGTTATTAAAGAGGATCGATATGATTATATACATTCATGCGCACAGATAGTGCTTGCTCCTCTCTGTTTCGTAAACGATTATTGGAGTAAAACAGCGTGTCGGGAGCGATCAACTGAATTTTCTTTTGGGGGAGAACTATCCGTGCAGTAACTGGGGGATGAATTCTTCGCAGATCAAAGCACAAATTGGAATCATCAGGATCGCTATTTACAAAATGGGTGACTGGAGTGTTATCAAGCATCGGCGAATTCCTCAAGACCCAACCGAAGAATACATAGTGGCCGTTATATGCCGAGTTAGGTTCTTTCTAAAGAACATCATTTGTCCACAACCATAAGTCATAGTCATATTGTCAATACTTACCTGCTCTGCGATAACACTGAATTCGTTGACAAATCATTATAGTTATCTGTTTAATTGCATATGTGAGAATAATTTGACAACTGTCACTGTTTATAGTGATTTGGAGAATAACTTAACATATTTCAGGAGCTTAGATAATTTAGTCTTCAGTTTCTAGTAGTTTAGTCTACAGGTAAAATTTCAACAACACGTTTGAGACAGAGGCTTTATAGTTAGCCTTAATATATATATTTTTTTTATATTTTAAAACTTTGAAACAGGCTTCAATCGAGCAACAAATTTTTCAAATTGTGAAATTTATGGAGACTATTTCGAACAAGCTGAAAATAGCCGTCAAGTTTTAAAATGCGGTTGCATACCTGAATAATGTTCAGAACATTTTCTGAACTATAGTACTGAAGAAGTTGTTGGGGAGGTCAAGAGGAATTCGGGAAGGAATCCAGGGAATTTTTGGGACGAAAAGCGAACTGACTTTTGTCACTAGTGAAGTGAGAAAACTCACGTCGTGGTGATGTGACTCTCTGTGCCATGTGCACTGATCGCGATATTTTGGAATATTTTTGAAAAGTTGTGCAGGGGAAATGGCTCTAATGTTGGCCTATGGATCTAAGATTGGGCCCATCACTAAACATCTGCTATTTATCAATTTTATCCAGATGAACGCGTTATTGGGACGGTACTTATGGATATTTTTGGTCGCTATTGAATGTATGGGCCCAAATTAGGGGCATTTAGGACGACATTACATTTATTTTCCCTATTTATTGTCCAAAACATCGATCACATTTTACCAGCATGTGACATAGTAAATTAACAAAGATAATTATGGGAAAACTCCGAAAATCATGGTGAAAACCTTTTGGATCAATTGGGTTCTTTGAGGGTATTGAAGTAAATGCTTATTCGTAACCTGCCTTAAAAGTTGATTCGAAACCCAAAATTTCATCAAGTTTGGCACACGGGAACTATTTTAAATAAGTTCTTTCATATAAGCAAAAAACATCATCTTAGCGTCCCTCGGCGATACTTTGTATGGGAGCGAGTTGTCAATTAGTTATTTGAGTGTCAAACAGTGAGGTGGTTTTTATCTTTAAATCTGGATTTAAAAATCGAGCTGAAAGTCTATGGGTTCGAAAAAAAAAATATCGTTGTGCTCAGAAAACGACGCTCTTTCAGATGACCGATGTGTTTTTTTTTCAAAATTAAAGGACTTAATTCTAGATAGAGCTGGAATTATGACGAAACAGCTTTTGTAAACAATGACTTCTCTCGATGATTTCTTGAAAGCCATGGCCCTCCCTGGAAAATAGACATCAAGACTTCCCCTACTCGATGGATATGTTGCTTTATGTAGGCGTGGCTTGATTTCCTAGAAATCATCGAGACAAGTCATTGTTTACAAAGGCTACTACGCCCTAATTCCAGCTCTATCTAGAATTGTTGTAATTAATTTATTCAAATTCTTTACGAAAATTAGACATCACTGCATATGAACACGACAATTCATCAGATCTAACAGCGTGGCTTGACAATTTGATATGTAGTTCGCAATTCGAGTTGACGCCATTGGCTCTTCACGCACAGAATGACAGTTTCTTACGGGATTTTTCAGAGGAGCGGAAGAGTAAGGAACTGTCCGCCATTCTTCACGCACAGAATTACACTTGCTTAAGGCCTGTTTAGAGATCGAAGCGAAGCGAAAATCTCATACAAAATACTACATTTTTCACCTGCGTGAAAAACGCAATTGGCAAATATTTCGCTTCGCTTTGAACTGTAAACAGATACGATCCAGCGAAATCTTATTTTGTGGATCGTATCTTTTTCGCTTACGTTCATTTTTTTCGCGCATGCAGCGCTAGCGAAAAGAGCAGCAGGTAAGCGAAAAGTTGACGTTTCGAGAAAGAGCGTATCTGTCAGATTTTCACTTCACCGGAGGTGTAAACTGACCGATTTCATTTCACACTGCAAAAAAAGGAAACTGGAAAATGTTCCACAAAATTTTTTTCACAACCTTTTTCGCTAGCGAAATTTTATGATTTTTCGCGTGCTTCAATTTTCGTTTCGCTTCGATCTGTATACTAGGCTTTAAGAGATTTTCCATAGAAGCAAAGAGCTACAGTAACGCCGTCGACATCAACAACTTGAGAGTTTGACAGCTCGCAATGAAACAGTTTACAGCTCCCTGCTAGGATTTCTCTAGCAAACTGTCTGCAAATGCTGATGAACTCTTTGATATTGTTGATCCAGATATCGCGTTTCGGCAAAAATTTGCAATAACTACACGCTATTTCAAAACTACCCAAATTTGGGTACAATCCACTCAGATCGGTCAAAACTGAACCTACCCAAAAATTGCTATGTTGGGAGAGACAAGTTGACCAATGGATAACATCGACATGAATTCGATCGATTTTGTTCATTTGATTCAGTTTTGACTGATCTGGATGGATTCTACCCAAATTTGGGTAGTTTTGAAATAGCGTATGCATCAGATTGTGTAGTATTTTAATCGAATGGAAACTTAAATATCTTTGCTGGAAAATTAAAGGCTCCAAGAAATGTAAAAAATAGTGCGATGCTCTCAATTATTAATTTGCACATACTACTTTTGCAAACTAGAGAGGGTCTAGTATAAGAGAGAAGTGGATTCAAAACAAACGGCCTTGGCAACCTATGCCTAGGTGATTACTAGCAACACTGCCAATGCAATCAAGATACACTGAACGAAAACATCCGCAATATTTTGAATGATTATTGTATTGCTCGAGCCCTTTAACAATATGCTGTGGAATCTCTGATGAATGCAACCACATTCATCATCAACTGATGAGCATCCATATGACTGTCATCCAAATAAAGGATGATATTTATTTGAAAATTGGCTGATAAACATACAGCGCTTTGAGGACAACAATTTAATGATATGATGACTTACAAATGAATACATTTGATGAATACATTTCCATATTGAATAGCCATGAACAGCCATTCATAATGGATACGAAAATCACTCGTTGGTACAGGAAACTTCTTCCACCACGAAACAAACAATCTTCGGTTCCCACGGTTTAAAAATGTTCGTACCACCTCTGATAGCGATGGGTATACTTCCTCCATGCTTGCACAGTTGTACACACCAACTACTCATTTGCTAATAATTTCTCACTCAGATGTTGAAAATTGTTTTTCTTTAAAGAAATTGATAGATTAGGATCAGGATCAGGATAGGATCATCATGGGGCCTCCCTTAGCTCAGTCGGTAGAGGCGCAGCTACAAAGCAAGACCATGCTGGAGGTGGCTGTGTTCAATTTCCGGTCCGGTCTAGGAATTTTTCTGGTTGGAAAATGTCTCGACTTCCCGGGGCAAAGAAGTATGATTGGACTTGCCACACAATTATAACAATGCAAAAAATGGTAAAGGCATCGAAAGCTCTCAATTAATAACTGTGGAGCATCTAGAACACTAAGTTGAGAGCATGCAATAAGCTAATAAGCGATATGCAATAAGCTTGAAATGCGAAGAAGAAGAAGAATAAGGATCATAGTTTACTATAAATATTCAAAGAGTAGGTAAATCTTAACATTTGAATCAACACTAATGAATTTTTACACTTGAAGTGCGAGATGTGCAGCAAGCATTTCTCACTTCATTTTTACAACGCAAAAACAAATACAGTTTATTACTGGAACTACAATCTACTTGTATTTACGTATCTATAACAAGCTTAATCTCTATTCTATCTACTGTTTCAAAAATAACTATGTTTCGTCAACTGTGTGCAAAGTTATTAGCAAATGAGCAGTTCGTGACCAAAACTGTGTATGCCAAGCATGGCTTCCACCTCATTCGTCTGCTCAGATCAGCAAATAATGTTTGATATAATTATTTACATCATGGTTTTGAATGATTTGCGTTATGGGGCTGAACACCAAATGCATTTTATTTAAAATAAAAATTATTCTGCAGAGAGCATTAAGCATTTCAACTGAACACCCTATCCCTTCTCACAACAATGTTCATCCTGTATTCTAGAGGAAAATCATCTGATTTCAAAACAACTGTCATCCGCTTGCAGCTATCATCAACACCAGCCAGTCCTCTCCTCTTTTATACTAGATCAGCGTTGCTGGATATACCGATTTATACCGATTTTAAAAATTGATACCGATATATAGATAAGGTTTCTCAGAATACCGATTTTTTGAGTTTTAATGCCGATTTGTACCGATTTTTTTTTATTAATAATCAAAATGATTACTGCCTGCCCGCACTGAATTGTCATAGGAAACTATTGTGAGGAAGGAATAAAACATATCTCCAAATGACAAAATGACAAGCGATCAACGAACCGAATGATAACGCTATATCAGATGTGGAAAGCAAAAATGATATAATTTTCTTCCTTCTTTTTCATGACAAGCGGGCTGCTGCGACACAACTCACTCGGGGCGGTAGAAGGAAACGAGCAAATTGTTGACAAGCTGCTTCCCGAAGTAAAGCCAAAGATGATACACGTGTGTTAATGGGAATTTTTTTTGTTATGCCTTTTCTCGATTCAGATCAAGCTATCCCATGTAACATTGCAAGTTTTATGGAGGTTTTAAAGCATGCTACAAGTCTAAATCATGGTCTACAGAACCCTTATAAAACCGAAATTGTTACTTGGGATGTCGTCATCCGTGTATATTGTAACAAAGCAGGCAAGCAATATATCATTATCCTTCTACCACTCGGATTGAGCTATGGTACAGAGCGAGTTTGTCATGGTGTCATGTCTTATGCTTGATACTCTTTTGACTAATTCTTACATTTCCTCGCGTTACCCAGGAGTCGAGAAACAGCCGATGGTTTATTCCAATAATTTCTGGAAATCGGGAAATACTTTTATTCTGTGGAAAAATTGGCCCATAAAAACGTTAATTTTAGAACTACCTGAAATTTCTTTAATCTTCCCTTTGAAGTTTCTTCCAACTTTCTCTTAGAATTTCCGTTCATCTTACCCTGCCCTGTAAGTTATTTTCCAATTCCTTCCGGAAAGCTATTACGACTTCCATTGGAAGCGTCTTCTGGTTTCGCTCGAAAGGTTCTTCCGTCTCCTCCCGTCAGTTTTTTTTTTTTTTTTTCAAGGGGGACGACCCCGGCGTAGTGGTTAACATCCATACCTCTCACGCCAAAGTCATGAGTTCAAATCTCACCCCCGGACAAGTCACGAATGACCCAAGAGTGTAAAAGTGACTATAATAACAAAAAAAAAAAAAAAGTTTTTTCAACTTCCCCGGGACTTTAGAAATGCTTCCAGAGTTTTATTGCGGTTCCATTAGTTTCAGGAAAACTTCAGGAACTTTTCAGAAGTTCTGAAACTTCAGAATAGTTCGGACTTTTGGGTAGATTCCGATAAATTATAGACAGTTTCATTAACATCTGTTCAAATCCGAGAACACGGGAATCTCAGGAAAGCCCAGAGAACTCCAATGAACTTAACGAAACTGAAATATTTTGGAAACTGCACAAGCCCAAAGAACTTCAAAAAAATTTAATGATTTTCAGGATAGTTCCATTTGTTTCAGGAGAGATGAAATAACTTTAGGGAAGCTTTGAGAACATCAGGACATATAAACTCAAGGAAATTTCTGAACCTTTAAATGAGTTCCGTGAAACTCAGCCAATTTTCGAAAACTTCAGTTAAGTTCCGAGAGGTTCATGAAAATTTTGGAAATGTAAGGGGTTACATGACCATTAGAAAATTGTGAGAACATTTTAAGGGAAGCTCTGTGTTTTTTTATCAGCAGTTTCTAGAACTTTAAAAATCAATTAAAAAATCGGGAAGTTCAGATAACCCAGAAATCTATTTCTTCCAGATACTTACGCCATCATGTTGTTAAAGAGGGGTTTTAAGTGGGTAAGTCGGCGTTGGTGGCGCATCGAATAGGAATCTTTACACAAGTTTTTACAGAAATTTAGTTTGAGTCTCAACGTCTGCTATCTGTGCTATATTTAATTAGACGAAATTTACAATCCCGTGGATAGAACGTAAGTCAGGTAATACAGTAGCTACCTTAGTAAGAACACAGAGAACAGACGTTTACGCTCGAACTAAATTTTTGTAAACACTTGTGTAAAGATTCCTATTTGATTTAAGCGCCACCAACGCCGACTTCCCCACTTAAAAACCTTCTTTGACAACATGATGGCGCTGGCGTTGCACAACTTACACTAGACACTAAGTGCCGGTAGTGCTGAGTGGTAATTTTCAACCGAAAATTTATCGATACTAGCGCCAAATTGGTCGAAAATTGAACATTTATAGAGGAAATCAGGAGATGCTAGCGCCACGTAACGGCGACGTTCCCACTTATCTTTACACAAGTTTCTGGTGTAAGTTGGACGTCTGTTCTCTGTAGTAAGAATATTGACCACCAAAGAGTATCTTTATTACCAAAACCTGGTATCAAGTAATCCAGAAAAAAAAAGAATACCGGCTAAAACTCCACCCGCAAACAACGGTACCTCTCTGTATCTGATTCGCTAGCCAAGATTCTCTGAATATTATTCTGAGGTCTTCTGAATCTTCTCCAAAGTTGGGATTCTCTGAATCTTATACCTGAAGTCACTCAATCTTACTCTGGGAAACCCTGCATATCATTTGGGGGAAAAAAAGTATCCAAGGATTCTCTGATTTACCTTCCGGGATTCTCTGAAGCTGATCGTAGTATATGGTAATGAAATTTCTGTACTCATCCTAAATGAGGCATTAATACAGAATTGAGTGTATGTCATAGACAATACCTCTTAAGAATCCATTTTAAATAATCACTAAAATTAATTTTGTGAACAACTGAAGATTTTTTGATAAATTTTGCAATATTCTTAGTTAGTTTTTAGCTATTTAAAGATGATTCAAAATGACCAAGAAGGGTCTGAATTCAATACAAATTCTAGAATTAACTGAATAAAACGTAAGAATTAAGTTTTGATACTCCTGGACGAGTTTTGAAAAATGTATTAACTAAATATTATGTTTTGCATAAGAAGCAAAGTTAAAACTCTGTAATTTCTAGAGTAATAAGATAACATTAGGATATCATTGAAAGGTAAAGTTCAATGGTCCGAATCTGTCAGTGATATCATCAAATAATCGAATGACAAATATTGAAAAATACATGGGTGATTTAACGTTCTAAGATTACAAAGAAAATCTGATTCATGGGAAATCTCGTGAGACTCTTTAGTCAGTTTCAAGTTATCTTCTCTATGACTCAAGATCAACTATAAATAAACTCAAGTCCTAGGCAAAGGTCTGAACTAAAAATTAAAATTGCCACTTTAATATCATAAGTAGTCTCGTCAATGCTTTCCATCGAGCAAGAAATCGTTGAAGTTTAAATCGCTTCAAATTACGGCATCAACCCGGCGGACGGACAAAAGAAGCATCCTCCTGAAAGTGCATCCTTACCTCATTGATCTCGTCGTCCAGGGCACGCTGCCGGGTCATCTCCCTAAGTCTTTCTCTCCTCTGTTCGGTAAGTTGTTCGAGCTTCCGTGCGGCTCGGTCGACCTCCTGGAAGATGGTAATCACCTCGCTGAGGCGAGCATTGATCAGGTCCTTGTCCGCGCCGCCACCGTTGACGGCATTCTGCTGCTGGTAGTTGTGGTGAAGGGTGAAGTTTCCGTTAAGACTACTGCCCACGAGGCGATTACTACTATCTAGACTACAATTCCTAACTAAATTTTTGGTTTGTTTAAGCGTTTGTTTGTTGTTGATAACGGTTAGTTTGTCCTGAAGTCGTTGTATGGTATTTGGTCCTTTGCGGCGGAGGGCTTGCAGTTCCGAGTCCATCAGTGCGCGGCTCAGGGCACGATGCTGCGAATGGAGCTGTCGGCGGGTCGGTGCCGTTCCCTGGACCTCCAGGTTCCGAATGTCGTTCAGCACGGTAACCAATCGGCGACCTGTTTCGACACACTGGATTTGCATGGGTTCAAGGGTTCGGAAGAAGTCGATCCACTCGCGTTGATCGTGCACGTAGAACCCAGCGCACCGGATCGGCAGATTGTCCGTACCGATGAAGTTCTTGATGGTCTCGTTGTTAAGGTATTTGATGTGCACGTTCAAGTTGCGGATCAGCTCCTTCGGTGGGTGCTTGTTGTCCGCTGGGTCGTACGATCCGGACACGTAGATCGATCCGAACTTTAGATGGCCGCTTAGAAGTTGCAGTGCACTGTCCAGCGTTTCGAGGAATGTCAGCTGGGAGCTTTCGGTCAGCAGCAGGTGGATGCAGTACTGAGATGGGCTGAAATGGAAATCACAAGAAATTTTGCATTAGAACAGCGTGAAAACCAACCATGGATTGGATATTTATTGAGTTATCAGCTTAACACCCACTTAGCTCCGTTTGTTTTGATTGCGGGAACGCTTTCGCGCCGGGCAATCTCCAATTCAAATTGAAATTAATATCCAATAAAAGATATTTTATTGTAAACAATTAATTTGCATTAGAAGATAAATTTTACACCAAATGAAATTACCCGACCGTGTTCGGCCGTTTGTTGATCGCGGGGCTTGTAGGCAGCGATAAAGCTGGCCGGCGCAAGCCAATGGAAATAAAATGCTACTCGTTACGAAGTGCAGGACTGCGGGATGCAACGGGCGCACTTTGAGTTAAGGTTTTGCCTACCTTCGAGCCATCACCGATCGATCGGTCCAAACGCAGCATCAGGGTGAGGGCGGTGGATCGGGATTAGTACCACGCAAACGAACGTATAATTTTCGCATTTTGATTCCACCCCATAAACCATACGGCCAAGTGGGCTTGGAAGCGCAATATAATGCAGGTTGGTGGAAGTGCTATAGCAGATCGGGTACCATTCCTTAATGCTCTCGTTGGTGGTCGATCGGTGTGCTCCAGTTGAAATAATCGCTGTTTGGGTAGGCTCGCAGCAGTGGGCGCACATCTACGGGTACTAACACCAGACCAATGAGATCAGATGAGTGCGGGTGGTTTTCGATTGGGATGATTAGAAATCCAATATGCATATTTTAGTATCGGCAATCAAACTTTCATTGGATAGGAAAACAGTTTCCAGAGAAAAAAAGCCCAAGCACATGTTCCATCCGAATGGCCGGTACGCGGTTGGTGAGCCTTGCGGCGAATTGGTTTGGAAACAAAGTTCACTGACCGATGCAAATTTTTCGGCTGTTGGTGCAAATTTATTATCGATGCGGTTTTTGGAGGAACCGCTGCTGCGTTATTCCGAGCGTGTTTTATTGAAGTGAAAATTTATTCTGGTTGCAGGGCTTCTCCGGCGATGAAGAATATCGTAATTGCAGTCAGCGGCAGCGGTTTCTCGTTATCTGTCTTCGTGCTTTTTTTTTCGGTTTCGGGTGAGAATCATAATTGTAATGCAATTTCAAGGTGCATTTTCTGTGCATCCCAAAGTGTGGTTACCGGTGCTTACCGTGTAATTGAAAATTTAGTAGAAATCATTAATCAAGAATCTTGTTTTCGGGGCTGTAATTAACTTCGGGTGCGGTTCTTCTTTTGTGGAAAATTCTTCGCAATGAATGGATCTCCATTGGCTTTTGATTGAGCTGAACAAGGTCAACAAACCGGAGGGTGAAATATATTTTTAAAATTGTATGTGATTTAAAATTCAAATGTGAGCATGTTTTATGTTAATGAATTTGGAATCAGTTGTTTTTATTTTGTTTTTTTTTTCAAGGTATTCAACGATATTTGGAAAATATCCAGTTGTGGGATGTGATATGAACATTTTCCTGGATTATAGTAATATGTATAATTAGATACATAGTGCCCTTTCTTGATTGTTGGCGATATAGATATTATAGATATAGATATTATTGATTAAATTAGGAATATCGATCTATTAGCTTGCATATCATTTAATAATCAAATAGATGGTACTGGACACAAATGCCTTTTTAAGGGGGTATTCCCAATCTTTTGCCTTTTTTCGGCCTGTTTTTCAATTAATTTTTTTTTGAAGGAAAATGAATAGTAATGCGCCTAACTCTTTGGGATTCTTGTTTATTGAACATTAAAGTTTACAAATAAATTTTTTTCGACATAAAAAAAGACATTATTGACGTCACAAAATGGCGGCAAACAGACCCCTGTTCGCCGCAAACGCCTGGACGGGCGAAGACTTTTCTCTGGAACGGCTTCATCTGAAACAGATTTCGTGATGAAATTAATAATCTGCATAAGATTCTCTGGAGCTTCTCCCGTTGGCAGCAAAAAATCTTGCAAATTAACAAAATGGCGGCCATATGAAAAACAGGCGATTTTTAGCCCGCTTTTTTGCAGCTTTAAGGTGCTTTAAACAATGTTAAATGTTAATATTTTTGGCTGAAAGTGGGAGAAGCTCCAAAGAATTTAATAAGGAACAAAATGCGCAAAGATTCAAGTCAATATCTCTTATAGTTTCTGAGAAAAATCTTCGCCCGATAAAAAAAAATGTGGTTTCGAGAAAAACGCGTTTAAAGTTTTGACTTTAGTTAAAACCATTTTGGGGGTTCTTACCATTAGTCAGCTATGCCTGGACACCGAATTCGCTGATCGGAAAACGGCTTGGGGGGATGAAAGTATATAGTCTAAAGAACAAAAAAACGTGAAAAAAAAATTTGATGTTTTGAAAAAAAAAAAGATCGGGAATACCCCCTTAATCTAACTTGACTATTGTGTTCAAGAATGTACATTACAGCATGATCACATCAAATTTCCCATACTAATTCCCATATAAAACTTTTAAAGGGCCAGAGCAGCATGAGTTCACATCCAAATGAGCTCAAATTTTGGGAGAATTTTCAGGACCTGGTTTGAAATGGATTAAGCTTGGTGGAGCACAAACGATAATTTGATTCACCCTAATGAGCATGATTGACCGCCCGAGAATGCAAGTCCGTTATTGCCAGATCAGCTGTAATTACCAAAACCAATAGACGTTGCTTGGAACCAGTGTTGGCTATAATCTAGACCAGAAAATCAAAATCAGCTATCTGTCAAGATTATTATCACCTAAAATCACAGGCACCAATATCACCACAAGCCATTGTCACCACGAAAATCACTCGTGATTTTCGACCAATATCAGCTGTGATTTTCGATTCCCAAAATCAACCAGCATCAATATCAACCAAGATCAAAATCATCGAAAATCGTGGGATTAGAAGATATGTTAAATTCTAGAGTCTGGGACATTCCAAAATTCAAGTTAGCATTCCGGATGAAATTAAAATGGTAGATTTGACCCAAGATGGCGGACCAAAATCCAATACGGTGGTCTCTAAACAGCGAATATGAATCTAAATCGATGAGTAGAAGTGAAAAATTGACCTCCGCTTAGGGTTATTATATCAAAAATTTGAAAAGGAGGACATTTCATTTGAAGTTTGGAGGCTAAGGAGGACAATGATTCCTTTTCTTAACATTAAATGAGGACAATGAGTTTTTATCAAACGTTTTAATAATATATGCGCTATCACAAAATTCATGATTTGCAAAGGTTCAATTGAGATTGTTACCAATTCAATGCATCTTCTCGTTATTCTTCTGAAAAATGCATCAAGCTAGCCTTCATAATTCATTTTTGATACTTGGAAATGATCTAGTCTAGCTGATTTGCATGAATACTACAGCTTTACAGCCTTAAAACCATCCTAATTTTTATCATGTACAAAAATCAGGATACATGTCATCGCTGCTAGAAACCAACATCTGAGCAACCTGTTAATTTTACCATTGATTCAGAGACCGCTGGCGCTGCCATATAGTGGGAGCGAAGAGGCGTGATTAGCGTTCTATAAAAAAGAATTCTTATTATTGATATTATTCCTAGGGGCAAGCCAGCTGTACTCCGAGTTAATATTTTTGCATCGAGTAAATTTGAGTTACTCATAATTATTCAAAAATAATCAAAGTAGTCTTACGTCAACAAGCTAAAACAGTTTGAATAAACATCATCTGTCGTCAGTTTGAATAAACGACTGAAATCCAACGAACGCTTGTGATGAGGATCCGGACTCGATTCCGATGATGGCGGATGATACTGTGCTACGCCTATCAGCAGGATGGTGGTACGGCTAGCTGTGTACCGTTGTTAAGTGAGATGGCAGTTGGGTAGTGGGCTAGTATTTAGATGGATTAGTACAGGTGCCACAGAAGGAAGAAGTGTTAATTTGTTTACTAAAATGAACATGACGGTTGTATATGGCAAGTTTGGATATAATCAATCCTACTCGTGTTTATTCGCGAAATTCACATAAAAGATTGATCACTTGCGTAGGAAATTAATTTGGCAAGGCATTTTTGACCAGCATACACCAGGTCCAAATCCGTCCGTATTTTTTAGGCACCGTCTATGGCATATAGTGAACTTTTGATGAACATTAACGGCAAATAACTAACCAACACTAGCGAACCGTGAGTACTGTGCCTCCTATACATCCTTCCATCTTGGGCTGGTATGGCAGTTTCGTGGCTATGTGGAACTGATTCCGATGCTAAGGTGCTTCGTTCAAGGCCACGCTTTGTCGAACCGATAAAGGGATTCCTCCTAGTCCACACTGATTAGGGACGTCGGATAAACATCGCAGAACCTTTCAATCCAACACCTGTAACTCCGTGCCACAATTTCGCTAAGATCTAAGGTTTTCATTCTATAAGTGTAATTTATTGAGTTGATACAAGTATTGCCCCAAGAAGAGGATAAGTTACCTATTCAAGAAGGATGGAAACTTTTTCTTTGTATAATCGATTAATAAAATGATTAATATGAATAAATAAATGCCAGTTTCTTATTTCCATTAAATCCCAGCCAATGGCATTTTGCAGATATCAACAATAGGAAATTTCTTACTGCAATTTCATTAATGAATAATGTACAATGTCCAGTTGGAATAATAAAAAATAGTTGAATATAACATGTACCCCTGAAACTGCAACATTGCTGCATTTAATTTTATCACTGCCCCCATAAAAATCTTTGGAATATTTTGAGAGCCGTGGACCAAATGTCTTCTAGTAAATATTCATTTCTGTCAACTATAGGGCTTATGCTTAATCTGAAAACGGTATGGAACAATTATACGTTTATAATCGATTGGGGATGGGCTACACTACATTCCGGAAGACGAACAGTTACGTAATTTGAGAATAATGTTCCGGTATGAAACGGAGCTAGAATGTATTGTTGTTTGACAACTGGGAGAAGAGCACAACAAAAAAAAAAACATGGCTACTGAGTCAACAAAACAAACAGAATTTTAAGCAGC